ATTTATCATATATATATCCCTTACACTCAAAATATTTATTTAAGTAAATTCTATAATAACGTAAAAAAAACCTACGAACATAAAACAATCATATATTAATTATAAGTATGTAATTATGTATTTAAAGTAGTACCTATAATGTATTTATATTAGTTAGGTAATTTCACATGTTGTTTCAGATACATTTACAAATAAAATAATCATTTAAGTGAGTTTTGTTGGCGCTTGATACTTTTAAGGCTCAATCAAATACAGAAAACAATAAAATATCAAAATAACAATAACAATACCACAAAAACATCAAAATGAAAATATGCATATCAATGTCCAAAAACACCGTTTATTCCTTTAAGGATTCTTTGCAAAATACATAATTGTCACGGATAAATACTATCCTATTTAGCCTCAAAGGCTTTAATCGTGAATGTTTTGCGGTTATCACGAGTCCAGCTGTGGAAAATACTCTCTCGGCGTGCTGGTGGCTGGTATATTCAAAATTGAGCGTGCAAGAGCATACAGTGGTGGTATAGAAGTTTCCTGTCTTTCCAGTATTGTAGAACGTCTCCACCGTAAGACTCTAAATCTTCAGGAGATGCTGTACTGAAATATTTCCAGCATTCATTTTCTACAGCATTCCCGGAATCACGCTGAGTGGTGCTGTGTTTTCACACCAACTCCAGTAAAAAGTTTAAAGAACCAGCAGAAGAAGTCGGCCTAGCTTTAGCGGTATCAATGATTTCATTTTGACGCTTTCCGGAGGGTTGCCCATATTTGCTTCGGGCGCAAAAAAAAAGTGCGAGCTTCATACAATATTTGGCTGTTGATGCGAATAGACGTTCAGAGTGTTCGACCTTATTGACAGACAATAATTGATTTTAACAAACCGTGCTTATTTTAATAATTTATTTTTACATTTCTTTGGTTGTTAGTTATTTTGGTAGTGTTTAAATGTTTCTTAGTATTAGCTTCATTATAAATTAAACTTTTATTTTTTATTTAGCTGTAGTTTTAAATAGGTACCTAGGTATCAAATAGGTTATTTCATTCTATTAGACGTAGTTTAGGTACCTACTTATATATTTTTAAGAATTTAATTTTGGATTTAAGGATTTATTTAGGATCCCTTTTATTATTTAAGTAGGCATTTAGATTTTTTTAAGTGTATGGTAGCTATAGTTAGGACCTCTAACGTAGATTATTTTGTTAGGTAACTGAATACCGTCGATTAAAAATAAAATACACAATAGAATAGAATAGAATAGAATAGAATAAGTCATTTATTGTGCTAGTTGTAGGTTTAAGAGATTTAACACTATAAAAATAATTAAGTATCACCACAACCTGCCTAGATAAGGCTTACAATATTATTAAAATTATGGAACTTAAAACATCATCTCATTATTCATTAAATCAAATCAAATAACACGGATAATAAAGCATAATGTCATACAATGAATTATTTTAACAAAAGTGGATTATAAATAATAATATCAAAAGTACAATGGTATTATACCAGTATAATCTAAGTCTATGAATGGAATATTGATATATCAAAATACATGTAAGCTTATAACTAAAACGTAGTGATTTGAATACTCTTTGCTTAAAACATAATTCAGAAAATATTTCAAATGTCAATTAATTTAAAATGTAAGTTTGTAGCTCAAATAATCTTTTAAGGAATAAAAACATCTTTCAGTCAATAATTCTAATAATTTATTCTTAAATTTTTTTATTTCTAATTCTTTTAATTTGTCAGGTAAATGATTATATATTTTTGGTCCTAATGCATAAAAACTTTTTGAGAAAAAGGCTGTCCTAGATGTGTGAAACGGTATAACAGTAACACTACTCTTTGTTTGCCTCGGGTGCTTAGCAATGTGCGAGTTAAAATAATGTAAATTACTTTTGACGAATAAGCAGGCGTGGTATATGTACAACGAGGGCAGATTTAGAATTTTTAATTTTACAAACAGAGGTCTGCAACTGTCTGTTTGTTTGGCACCAAACATTGCTCTGAGACACTTTTTTTGCATACTAAACAATGGCAACAGGTTAACATCAGCCGCGCCTCCCCAATGTATGATACCATATCTTAAGTTGGTGGCAACGTATCCATGATAAGCAGTAAGTGCAGCTTTTTGTGAGACAGTTTGTGTTAATTTTCTTAGAGGATAAACAAATTTACTAATTTTACTTGCAAGAAATTCGGTATGCGGTTTCCAGCTTACACATTCATCAACCAATACACCAAGGAAACGTATTTGTTTTACTCGCTCAATCAAATGCCCTTCATACTTAACAAAAACAGTCTCTTGTTTCCGGTTTTGGGGAAGATGAAACTGCATATATTTTGTCTTATCTAGGTTTATGACGAGATCATTAGCTTTCATCCAATTAATAATATCAGACAAAGCTTCAGCAATAACACATTCGTATGGTTTATTGCTGTTGTTTTTTATCATAACAGTAGAATCATCTGCGAAAAGGATCATTTCATGCTGCACATGTCTAGGTAGGTCATTGATGTACAATAGAAAAAGAAGAGGCCCAAGTATACTTCCTTGGGGTACACCACACTTTACAAGCTGTGACTGAGATCGTACTTGCACTTCAGATCGATTTTCCTCATTAACATAAGAGATTTCTGTGCATTGAAATCGGTTATTTAAATATGACGATACAAGACCAAATATAGGTCCTCTGATACCATACATATATAACTTTTGCAGAAGCTTTTCATGATTTACGTAATCAAAAGCTTTTGACATATCCATAAAAATAGCAGTTACTGGAACGCGATCGTCAAGGCATTCCGATACAACTTTTATCATGTGATATATGGCTAGATTCGTAGATCTATCCTTTCTAAATCCGTATTGCTCGTCTGCTAGTATATTAAATCGTTCGCAATAATTATATATGTTTGTATATATGATTTTCTCAAAAATTTTGGAAATGACAGAAACCAGAGCAATTGGGCGATAGTTCCTACAATCCTCTTTATCCCCTTTCTTGAAAATAGGTTTAATTACTGTTATTTTTAGCTTATCAGGGTAAATCCCTTTATTTATAGTTAAGTTGATAATGTGACTAAGCGGCCGAGCAAACTGAAAATTACAAAATTTCAATACTCTAGTGGTTATTTCATCGTGACCAACACTTGTTTTATTTTTTAAGCTATTAATTATTTTAACTATATGATCGGGCGTTGTTGGATTCATAAACAATGAATTTGATATACGTTCAATGTTACTTCTGTAATTTATTGGTTTGCAGTTCTGTACAGGATTCATAAATGTATCATTAAAAGCTTCTGCAATATCACCTGGTTTAGTAATTGTTTTCCCTTTATAAGTTACACTCTTCATAATTTCTTTTGGCTTTGTGAAATTATTTGAATTTATTATCTTCCACGTAGATCTTGTTATATTTTTAGACTTGTTGATGTAATTGTTGTTTTGAATGCGTTGTGATTTATTAATAACTTTTTTTAAAAGTGCTGTATAAGCATTATATTTAAGTTTATCATTTTTAGATTTTAATTGAAAGTACATTTTCCTTTTGCGTTTACACGATGTTTTGATACCACTTGTAATCCAAAATGGCTTCCGCTGAGCTGAAACTTTAATTAGGTTGAACGGGAAGCATAAGTCATAAAAGAGTTTAATCAATTCATAAAACAAATTGTACGCTTCGTTTACATCATTGCTTTGATAAATATCATAAAAGGATAAGCTTTCCAGGCATTCTCTAAATTTGGTTAGATTTTCAATACTATAGTCACGTCTTTTGATAAACCAGTATCGCAAGCAGGAGTAATTTATTGTGATAGGATATTGCAACACTTGAGCAGTGTGGTCGGATAATCCTAAATGTAAAATTTTGCTTTTACACCCACGGCAATTATGAATGATATTATCGATACACGTTCCACTTTGTAATCTAGTCGCATCCATGAATTCAATTTTAAAGTTATAACTCGACAAAAGATTAATAAATACATTAGTTGTCATGCAATTTTTTAAAACATCAATATTAAAATCACCACATATTATAGTTTTCTTAGTTCTATATTTGCTAACCCTATCCAACAAAGTTTCAAGTTTTTCGAAAAAGTTAGTGATATTACTATAATTAGGAGTTCTGTATAAACAAATAATTATAACATTAAAAGACACAAGTTCAATAGCACAACATTCAAATACGGTACTGAGAGAGTTTCTTGTAATTTCAGGTAATTCTCGGTAATTAAGTCCTCTTCGAGTCATAATACATGCACCTCCTCTTGAATTTTTTCTGCAGTATATGGCAGCTAGATTGTAGTAATTACATACTAAATTGGTTTCATGTCCATTCTTGACAAAATGTTCAGTTAGACAAATAACGTCAATACAGTTCCCTTCACTTGAAAAATCCTCCAATATGATCTCAATATTATCCATTTTACCTAGCGCACCACATATATTTTGATGCATTACATACAGAAATTTACTTTTCTTGTTTTCGAAAAAAGTCATCATTAGATAATTTTACATCCGAAACGTTTTCACTAACACTTTGCTGAACTAATTTATCAGTTTGCGTCCCTTTGTTGGATTTATGGTAGTCTATAGACATATACGAACTCTCTATTTCTGATAGTAAACTCTTAAGATCTGCAAACAAAGCTCTCATGCCTTTATTATTCACGGCACCAAGTTTACCAGAGAACATGTGATAATCATAGGTGAGATTCAAATTTGAATTTAGTAAATATGCATACTCATGGGCTTTAATATTTTTGTACAGCAAATAGTTAAAGTTTTCGATTCTTCTATTAAAAATATTTGTATCTTTAGCACATCTAAAAGTTGGTATGCAAATTACTATATTAGTGTGAGTGATGCATTGTATGGTTTGCCTTAAGCTCTCCACTAGTCTGTTATAATCTTGTGACATCCTGAAGTCATAATCTCCAATTAGAACAACACAATAATCTTGTAAAGTGTAATTACTCAATGCCACCTAAAAAACGATTATCTTTATCTCGAAATTCGAGAGAAGCTAAGAGAATGAGAAATGTGCGTTCTCAAGAATCGGCAGAGGAAAGAGCACATCGGTTAAACTCTATGAGAGTTAGTGCCTCAACTTCTCGAGCCAATGTAAGCTCTCCAGAAAGAGAGATGCGATTAGCAGCTGACAGAGCGAGACGAGCTACATCACGGGCGTCTCGAAGTTCTTCTCAACGAGAGCTAAGGCTTACCATTGACCGAGAACAACATGTGTTATCCCGAGAAGTTGAAACTGCTTCACAACGAGAATTGCGGCTCACAGTTGACCGCGAACGGCCGAACGGCATACATTATCTCGAGAGTCCGAAACCTACACTGAGAGGGAATTACGTCTCACAGCTGATCGCGAACGTCATGTCTTTCCGTGCTTGAAAGGTAATTACGTCTCACAGCTGATCGCGAACGTCATATTTTATCTCGAGAATCTGAAACTTTTACTCAATATGAAGACCGTTTGACAGAGGTTTTTTTGCGAACCAGTGGTAAATAAAAAAATGACTTTCAATAAGTATTATACAATAATCTATATTGAATAAAAAAACATTCATTCAAATCATTCATTCATCATTTCTTCCTTAAACTAACTGACTCATTGGAAATCAAAACGTTGATCGAGGGTTGACGTACTGATAGTGTGCCGGGGGTTGACGGGTGTACCCCACTTTTATCGAATCTATTAAAGAGACAATTTTGATTCCTCTTACTCATATTTTCAACATAAGTTACCTAAGTTTTGGTGTGGGCGAATTTCCTGACAGCTTAAAGTGTGCGGTAAGTGCGTGCGATGTACAATTCATGCAACACACAAGCGTTATGAACATTAATATACCAGCTCACATAGAACTTAGAGTTTTTTAGAAGCGTATAAGAGTGTTTAAAATAGGTTGTATCCTTATAAGAGTTGTTTATAAGTTATTATACAGCTCAAGCTGTATAAAGTCTGTATTAAGGGATCTAAGTAACTTTGAGGTTTTAGTTCAAAATATGAAAACTCTAGTACACAATTTTAATTATTTTGTAACACTTGCATCTGTGTACATTCTATTATTAAAGCTGTTTTTTTTCATGCTGTCACTTGCTTATTACAGCTAAAGCTAAGTGTTGTTATAAGTAGTATCACTCAAATCTTATTTCTGAGCAATGGTGTATGAAAACTGCCTTCTGAAACTTATTTTATATGGCGTAATTATACACTCTTGTATAAATACAGTATTTTTATTACTTCTGTCTATAAGAGTGATATAAAACTAAAAAAATAACAGCCGTAGTACAATTTAAAGCTGTACAATATATATCGCAATTTCGGATGCGATGTGAAAAAAGAAAGAGATTTGGTGCAGTTAGAAGATCATGTAAAATATAAATAAAAGTTATCCAACACTGTTCCCAAGGCAAGGTTTTTCATTTTTTACATCTGTCACTGAAGAGAATTGTATGTTATGTTGAAAAAACTGCTATACAGCGTAAGTAATAAAATTATTCTATTACACAACTGATTAAAAACCAATGGCTGTATGATAGAATCCATAACATACACAGTACAGTTACTAAGACTATAAGACCGTCTAAATATCGTTTAGACTGTTTCGCAAATTGTCCCTATTTCACGACTCACATAAACAAAATTTAAAATATAATTTTAGGAATATTAGGCCTAGGCCTTATTGTTTAGCCTATACCATTATTTTCCGTTTGAATAATAATCACTGTGCCACCAATGTGCCTTCATATTCATTAATACAATTTAGTTTTTATTCTAACCTATACAAGCAATATTTAGTTATCTTGTTTAGTATTTTGTCCTTATATTATTAGGTTATTTTGCTGGCGCGTAATTTTTTTTTCATGGAAAACATGTTACTTTACTTACGCACTTTCCATTCATCGACTATCACCATCAAAACTCAACTCCTATTCGAGTATATTCTTGATATATCAAATACGAGTATATTTTTTTACTCTGGCATTAAATGTCGCCATCACTCGATAAAGTATATACTTAAATAATTTAGAACGCTTATCTTTAAAAGCCACTTTAAAAGACAATATCTGTAGTGTATTTAATTTATTTGCGCGCCAAATAACAGCAATAATACAGCTGTTATACAAGCTCCTTTAAGCTTCTACTGTGCAGCGCTACTAACACATAAAGCTGTATAAATTGTGTCAATTTTTTGCTTGAGAAAGCTGGATCAAAGAATAACCCGAATAATTATAGGGCTATATCGCTTCTTACATTCTTCTCTAAGCTGTTGTATCGTAATTTGTGGACCCTCAATGCGTAAAAATCTAAGTACATGTGTTTCCACAAAACTCGTGTCACTAATCCATTGATGTAGAATTAAATCCCAGTCCATACTTGTAACATACTGCAACAATGTGACTGTGAGGGTAGTGCGAGAGTGGAGACGATCAAGTAGGTACTTGGGTATAATTTTTGACAACAATCTTTCGTTCAAACAGGATATTTCATACCTCTCAAATCGAGTTAAGAAGGTCATTTATATCATGAAGCTTTGGAACTATGCAGAAAAAAGTACACAACGCATAAGTATGGTTTATTTTGCGCTCTGCCAATCAAAAATACAATATTGTATATAAGTTTGGGGTGGCGTCTCCAAAACTACCATGATTTACTTGGAGAGGGCAAAGAGAGCAGTTCTAAAGGTCATTTTAAAAAGCCCTACTGATACCCTACGACCGATCTTTATCCAAGGTTTTGAGTGTACGTGTACGAAGTTAAAACTATCTTCTTAATTAAAGAAATAATTTGTTGTTTTGGAAAATTAAGTTAGTTTTAACAACGTAATTAAAACTGATATCCCTACTCCTGATCCCCAAGATACAGGCTATGCCTAGTTTGGAGTTGGTAAGTATTTTTATACATAATTTTATAATAATTTAATATACCTACTTTTCTGATTTTTCTGTTTTTTGTGTTCAACTCTGTAGCTGTATTTTTAGGCATAAATGTTTTTTTTTTTTTCATTTACTTATTTATTAAAGGTGTCCAAGAGCAGTAGTCACTTACCATCAGGTGGATTCATAGCTCGCCTGTTGCTTTAAATTTATAAACAAACAAAATCCATGAGGCACATAATGTAAATTTCCTTTTTTTGTAATTTTCTCAAACTAGAAACAAATTATGGGATTTTTGGAAGTGAATTTGGAATTCGTAAAAGTACATGAGGGTTAAAACCTAGAAGCAATGACACAGCAAGTGGGTACGCCGATCGTCTGTGCCAAATAAGCTTCATCTTATAATTGTGTGTGTTCGTTAGCTGCTGTCAAATCAACATCAAAATAAGCAGAAACAAAACGGACAATTATTGAATTCAGTATTTGCGCAATACCATTCCACCTTGTCAGGTGTAGCATCGAATATGGAAAATTACCAATGCAATTATTCCCTGGTTTTTATGAAGATGATACTCTTTGTGTATAACGGGTTAAACTTCACTGCATGATATAGATCTTTTTAAGCATGTATTAATTAACAGTAATTTTTATTACATTTTTTGATATATCGCACACCTAGATCTAAACAGCGATTAACTCAAAAAATCATTTTTTTTTCAGAAAAGGTGATAAACTGATTACAGTGTCCCTGTGCCCCGCAGGAGTTTTCTGAATTGATCAAATCTTTTTAAATGCAAATAGAGGAAAGATGTCATAATGAATCATGTATTTTAATCATAATTGAGTCTGAAAATTGGAGTTTTGTAGTTATTTCCGTATTGCTTAACAAATGTATGTATATATTTTTTTTATTTGGAGTTTAACCTGTGTTGGTGAATTAAGTTCCTAGTTGGCTCCCTTTTTGAAGAGTCAATATTAATTTAAATATAGCAGCATTTAGAATTAATTCAATAAAAATCCAACTGATAGAGGGGTCAGTGACCAGCAGTAGGGGTATATTGGTTGATGACTTAGCAAGAAAATACTAAATTATGTAATCAAATCAAATATTTTTTTATTAATAATATACCTATACCTAATATATTCTATAAAAAAATACAGCCTTTTATGACCCTTAATTACCTAGTAGGTTCAAATAAAATTATCATAATAAAATAGTAACACAACATAAACATAATGAGGAACACACACATTCTTAGTAGGTAGTTAAGAATGCAAACACTTCAATAAGAATAAAGCAGTCAATTATCAGTATCACCCAATACATATTTATAATAAACATCATAACAGGATTTCGGAATGACGTTCTTATCAATCAATTCTTTTATGTCTTTTTTTTTGCATCAGACAATGCAATTTTTTCAGTGTATGCATGTGTTAAAACAATTGAAAATAACGATTGATCTATAGCTATGGCCGATCCGGATCCTCTTAGGCGAAGAATCCTCTTTCGCACACAAACTTTCTTAAACGTTTCCTCTGTAAATGATGTTTTATAGAAAAACCCTTCAGGGTGATCTTTTTCAACCCTAAGAACCTTTAAGTCATGCCACTTAACTTGATTTCTCTCTTCGTCTGTATTGAAATTTGTGCCCCACGTTTCTTGCAAAGCTTTAACATCATAAAACTTGTCATGCGTCATTTCTACGACTGTGTAAGGTTTTCCAGTCTTTTTTTGCTGTACCAATCAACGTTTTATATTGCTCTGGTATATAGATTGGACCCGACTGCACGTATCTTTTAATTTGTTTCTCAATGACACTATGGACGTTGTCACCTTCATTTTGTGAGTGTCCACGTATGAAAAACTTGTGAGTAATAGACTTGACTCTTAACTTGTTGACAGCGTAGGCATAGGCAGACAACAGAAACTTATTTTTTTGTTGACCGCCACAATTGTCCGAGTAGAAAATTATTTCAATTTCTTTATTAGGATTTTGGTCTACCTGAGCTTTAACGTAGTCGAGTATGCAGCTGCCAATTTCAATAGGTCCTCTCTTTCCTTCGGTTTCATCCCAAAAGTAGCACATAACTTCTTTTGCCCTTAAATCGCTGATGGTAAAATTGAAACAGTTGATCCTGGATTTATAAAAAAAATAGTGATATTTGTCCCTTTGGAATCTGCAAAACTGCCTGCAAGTCGTAAACTGCTACGATAGTACCATCGGCCCTACTTTTATCATTATCTTTCTCATTTCTTGCCAAAACTTTTTCTTTCTGATGCTGTTCATACTCTTGGCTTAAGTTGCGTTTTTCTTCCGAGTCTGAATTCTTATACCTTTCGCACAGATCGCATTGATCTTTTTTTGGTACGAAAAAAGAAATGTTGAATTCAGTGTTGAATATCCTGTTGAATGTGGAAGACGTGGCAATAGCTAAACCATCCTTTTCACGAAGTTGTTTGTAATCTCTGTAGATATCCGCCAATGATTTCTCACTTGAAATATACTGTC